TACCTCCTCTAATAATGTTGAAGTTATCTTTAACTCATCTTCTTGTCTTGTGAAGGATAAAACCACAGGCAAAGTGCTGCTGCTAGGGAAGCTTAAAGATGGCTTATATTGCTTGGGCTCCTCGAAACGGACTTCACTTTATCATCCTCCCTGTTAAGCTTTGATCATTAGCAAAAATGTCCAAACCCCTTAATTAAGAACACTGATGTGGCATAGAAAACTCGGACATCCATCTTCAAAAACCTTATCTGTCATCTTAAACTCATGTAATGAACCATTTAAGTTTAATAAAAATATCTTTTGTGATGCGTGTCAACTGGGCAAGTCCCATCTTATTCCTTACTCTCTGTCTTTGTCACATGCAAAAACACCATTCGAAGTTGTTCATACTGATGTTTGGGGATCATCTGCTCTCTCTTCACCTTCAGGCCATAGATATTATGTGATTTTCATTGACAATTATAGTCGAATTCACTTGGCTTTATCCGCTCAAAGAAAAATAAGAAGTTTATCAAGTCTTCACCTTGTTCAAACACCAAATAGAAACCCAATTTGGAAAGAAAATAAAGTGTCTTCAATCAGACATAGGAAGAGAGTTTATTGGCTTGGCCCAGACTCTTCAAAGTAATAGAATTAAAATTAGATATTCATGTCCCTACTCATCGGCTTAAAACGGACGGGTTGAAAAAAAACATCGGCATATAGTCGAAACCAGTCTCACCCTCCTTGACGACTCAAGAGTGCCACTCAAATACTCATTCGATACTTTTGAAACAATCATATTCTTGATTAATAGAATGCCTATATCAATCTTGAATCAATCATCGCCACTTGAAAAGCTATACCACAAAAAACCTAACTACAAACAGCTAAAGACTTTTGGGTGTGCCTGTTTTCCTTGTCTAGAATCATACCAGAATCACAAGCTCACTTTCTATTCAACAAAATATTTTTTTCTTGGTTACAGTTCTCTTCACAAAGGGTACAAATGTCTTAGCTCCACTGGTAAGATATATGTATCCATAAATGTAGTCTTCAATGAACTTAAATTCCCCTGTTACCATGGCTTTGTGAAAACACACCAACCCAAAATTGTCTCTAGAATCACATTACCCTCCTGGCTCAATATATCTTCCAACCCTTTATCAGCCTTACCTTTCCTAAGAGCACGAGCAAACAGACCTCGCATAAACTCTACA